TTTGTTCTTTCTTCTTCTTCCTTCTTATTCTCCCTCCGCCCCCTTCTCCTTCTTTTTCAATTTATCAATATTTTCATATATTACGCATAAGAGGAACATCATTATTCAAGTCCAGTTTCTGTCGCCAGAGTTCCAAAAGTCAGGAGGCCATTTCAAGACAATTGGTCCCCAGATCACGTCGATGGTCTTTTCGGGCGAAGACGTATTCGATCGGCGGGAAATAACCGAGCCCGCGCCACAGAGTATTTGTTAAAAAAAAAAAAAAAAAAAAAGAAAAAAAAAAAAAAAAAAAGAAAATGGCTGCCAAATGGAAAATCAACTTGCAGACAGAAAATATTGCTGGACCAAATGAAGGCGAGAAACGCAGGTGGTACATACCTGTCTTTGGGTAGCCGACGGCCAAACCGGTAGATAGCTACTATTGTTTTCCTGTCAATCGTTTACAGTAGGAGAAAAGAAAGAAAGATCAAAAGAAAATGGCCGTATTTGAAAACATAGAAAGTCTCTCCAATAAGACTTGCCATGCACACGCTACTTACTCACTTTCGAAAGTGAACTTACTCTGAAAGTAATACCTTCTATTTATGTACACGTCAACTTTAACTGATACGGGGAAATAAAATAACACAATTGGGTCGAGCAGGCTTTCTTGTTCTGTATATTGCTATCGCCAAGACTGAAACGCCTATGTTCATGTGGAACAAATTCATTGAATCAATAGCTACATCTACCGCAAGGAAAGTTGGTTCTCTGTTTCTCGCCAGATGGCTCCATCTTTCAAATCTACAAATCTACAATTCGCCCTTTCCTTGAATACTGTTGCCATATATGAAGCTCCGGCTGTTCATCGCGAGGCTCTCGACAAAATCCAAAGACGGATATGCAATGCGATAGATTCTGACCTGGCATCTCGAATCCATTCACTTTCTCACAGACGTGATGTGGCTTCCCTCTGTCTTTTCTACAAACAGTTTCATGGCAACTGCTCTGATAAGCTATTTTCACTGGTACCCCAACTGCGTGATTTAAGCGTGCTACTAGGTTAGCATCTCGGTTCCACCCTTTCACTGTCGAAAGAGTTAAATGTAACCGCCTCTTCTACTACAACATCTTCTTCCCGTCAGTGGAACACCCTTTCTTCTACTTGCTTCCCTGAGAACTATAATCTTCAAAAATTTAAATATAATGTCAATCGATATCTTCTGATGCCTTGATCTTGATCCCCGTCCTTCTCTTTATCTTTTCCTCAGGCACCCCCTCTTTACTCTTACTCTTACTCTCTGTAATACCTTGCTTGCTAGTGGCACTCCCACTTTGTTTGAGGGTGAAATGATAATGCAAAAGATATCTGTTGTTCGGTCTCAGCGAACGTGCAAAAATCATCAATGAATGTAAATGAACGCAATTCTTCCTGCGTGGAAGAACTGAGAATTCTCGTCTTTGGACGCACTGCCATGTCCGAAGCTGTTTTCAGAAACTGGAATTTTTTATTCATTTTGGATTTTTTGAAAAAAAAAAAAAATACAGTAAGTTTCACTCGTTACAAGGCCCGGGGCGGGGCACTCGAGGTAGGAGACCATTTGGATATATAGAAGTGGAAGATGACAGGTTAAGATTGTAATGATCAGAGAAACCTACTCTTGGGAGTCGGTTCCATAGCGGGTCGCGGGTAGAAGTTGCTCGAGTGGAACTTACTTCTCGCAGATGGAATACGCAGGCAATGTGGGTGGAATGCTACTATGTAAGTGGCATGGCGTGTTCTTGCTGTGAAGCTTTGCCTCAGCGGGACCAGGGAATATAGCTCACCCGAGCACTTTCCTTATTAGTTGCGGTAGAACAGCGAGAAGCTTGCTACACCTCGCCTGAGGGAGAGGTGGTGAAGGGTGGAGAATATTTAATCACCCATAAGAGCGCGGAGACGCTTTTGAACTCTATCAAGGCTGGAGAGTGAGGCCTGAGCTGCTCCTGCCAAAATATGGCACAGGTACTCCATTTTTTGGCTCTTGTTAAAGTAGAGGATATCAGGAGGAGCCAGGTACTTTCTGAAGTGCTACAGAGAGTCGACCATTTTACCCGCACCCTTAACAATGGATCGTATATATGAGTATATTGAGGTCGGGTGTGTGTTTGAGGCCCAACAGTCTTTCAAGGCAAGGGGCTTCACCAGACAGAACTTTACTACATTAAATTAATATAAAATATTTTCAAAATTTTCTTTCTTTATTTCATGTGCCCTGTAAATATGAACAGACTAAGAAATTATTTAATATGTTTTCTGTTTATACGTTATTTTTATAGCTATAACTTATTTTAGTAAATGCGATGTTTTTTTAATTAAACGGAATTAATTACATTTAGCGGCCTGAGTATTTGAGAAGTTTCGCAGAAAATAAGCCTTCTACGACAGGAATCGAACCTGTAACTCTTATGGGAACCGTCATTTGATCAGACGCTTGTCTGTGACTGAATGGTTAACAGTAGGCCAGATCAAACCATCAAGCAGTTCTCATACCTTTCAAACCATCAACCAGATCTCGCACCACTTTTAACCAAACAACCAGTTCTCGTAGACCTTTCAAACTACCAACCAGTTTCTCGCACCACTTTTAAACAAGCAACTAGTTCTCCTTTTTGGTTTTAAACCATCAACCAGTTCTCGCTCTCATTGCAAACCACTAGCCAGTTCTCACATCCCATTCAGATCACCAACCAGGTATCGCCCACCTTCAGGCCGCCAACCAGTTCTCGCACCCCTATCAAACAACCAACCAACCAGTTCTCGCAGCCATGTCATGCCCATCAACCAGTTCTCGCACCCCTTTGAAACCACCAATCAGTGTCTTGACCCCCATTCAAAACAACCAGCCAGTTCTCGCATCTCTTTTAAACCAACCATTTCTCACACCCACTTCCTGAATTGATGAAAAACAATATCGATCTTATGCGTAAATAACAAAACCATAATGTTTCTTTAACCTTAATTCACATAACTGACAAAATGCGTTACAAAAGCCCAGATTATTTTCATATTAGCAAAATATTAAAATTACGTTAACATGTGTTTGTACTATACATGGTGTGCTGCCAATGATTATGGATAAGCAACGGCGACTTTGTTGTTGTTGTTGTTTTTTTTTTTTTGTTTATGATCACATCAACTTTTGCTGTCTTTTTCCTGAGTGCTACTAGCATGTCTTGTTGAAGATCCAGTCGATTTCTGCTTTTGGTACTGATGTCATATAAACAGGAAATTCCAATTTCGCACAGGTATATAGTCGCGAAAGTCACCAGCACAGTGAGTCCTTTTTTGCAGTACAGGATACATTTCCAACTAAGAAGTCAAGAATTGCTCCAGGCGACCATCGCTGAAATCCATTTAGATTCCAGGATTGTTTTTTTTTTCCTATGTATACAATTACGCTAATATGATGGTAGCAACTGGTAAAATATATATAATGTAAGCTTTTATGTCAGAGCGCTAAACTACACTAAAGTTTCCTTAATAAACCAAGCCTGATGATTCACATCCCTAGGAACCGAAATCGTACCCCTAGGGGATGAGAGTTCTCCTGGTTAAGAATCACCGTTGTAGCCTGACTGCGAACCAATCCTATTCATATACGAATATTTTCTTCGTTTGTGTCGCAGTATCTGAACTTTTGCATCAAACTGACTTTTTCTTTTTCCTTGACCAGAAAGGGAGAACCTTTATAGTTTCTGGGTCATTTTTGATACTTTAAAATTTTTCATGAAAATAAATGGGTCACATGTATACTTACTGATACATTTTTTTAATGAGAAACTTGTTGCTGCATTATAGTTGCTAATGTTTTAATTCAAGGTTCAAATTCTGTTGTCTTCAGCTTAACGCATGCAGCACTCGTATCCATACAAAGGCGATTCCTGGTTGTTGATTTTATACAGTTCATGGTGAGCAATATTTCATGATATCATTTCACAGACTTCACATAAGTCACTAAGAAGTCAGTTCATGACATGTGGGTCAGTGATTCACCATCTCTGGTCTAAAGGGTCTGTTGAAGGATCCACTTCTTTAAGTGCTAAAGGATGTATTTGCTTGACACCAATTTTTAATCTTTGATCTGAGAAAGCGGTTGTATATAGCTAACATTTTAGACATTTCCGAATGAGCTGGGCATCACACACACCATCAATATGAAAGTCTAGAACAGATAAGGCTATAAAAAAACAGGTCTCAAATTTTCAGATTAGTATTTTCGTTTTGTAGTACTTCATGGTGATGGGCGAAACTATACTCCTTTCTCTTAAAACAGATTTTCAAAAATCAGAATTCTGAAGTCCACTGTTATCGCTCTTTCCCATATTGATAGGAGTTTCCTTCCAAACCTTTTGTTTTTGGTTGTGTGGAAAACTAACAGCTTCATTATATCCTTATTTTTCCTTCTAGTTATATGTGCTATCCATTTTTCTCGTTGCTGCTGTTGGAAGTCTTCAAATGATGTGATTTTATTTGGTAAAGCTCTGTGTGATTTTGTAGTGACAGTCCGTAGCGGAGATGATAAACTTTTATAGTTGCCAGGTCATCTTTGCTACTTCAAAATTTTTCATGAACATAAATAAGTCACTTATATACTTATCAATACTTTCTTTTTAATGAGAAACTTGTTGCTACATCTTAGTTGCTAATGTTTTAATTCGAGTAAACCATAAAGGAACTATGAGTCACAAATTTTAAATTATCAGAAAAGACACTGAAAATAGATAAGACTAAATGCAAAAAAAGGACAAAAACCTTCTTACACAACTGTACAAAAACGTTATAAAATTGGCTGAGTATCAGCTAGATGTGTTTAGGAATACACAAGGCGCAAACAAAAATCGTAAAATCACTAAATTTGATTGGATGGACTATATTTCATTATGACATTTCACTGACTTTTCATCGGTCCTTAAAAAGTTAATGGTGGGTCAGTTCCTGACCTGCAGGTCAGTGGTTCGCTCTCGCTGGTCTAGACTGACTAACAACCAATCTTTTCATATACAAATGGTTTCTTTCCTTTGTGCCGCAGTAGCTGACATGCTAGTAGCACACAGGAACAAGACACCAAGTGTGATGTCATCATAACTGGTTGGTGGTATGAAAGGGGTGCGAGAACCGGTTGGTGGTTTGAAAGGAATGCGAGAACCTGTTGGTGGTTTGAAAGGAATGTGAGAACCGGTTGGTGGTATGAAAGGGGTGCGAGAACCGGTTGGTGGTATGAAAGGGGTGCGAGAACCGGTTGGTGGTATGAAAGGGGTGCGAGAACCGGTTGGTGGTTTGAAAGGAATGCGAGAACCGGTTGGTGGTATGAAAGGGGTGCGAGAACCGGTTGGTGGTTTGAAAGGGGAGAACTGCGGTTTGAAACCGGTTGGTTTCTGGTTTGAAAGGAAATGTGAGAACCAGGTTGGTGGTTTGAAAGGGGTGCGAGAACCGGTTGGTGGTTTGAAAGGGGCGCGAGAACTGGTTTGGTGGTTTGAAGGGGTGCGAGAACTGGTTTCTGGTTTGAAAGGGGCGCGAAACTGGTTGGTGGTTTGAAAGGTACGAAACTGGTTTCTGGTTTGAAAGGGGCGAACTGGTTGGTGGTTTGAAAGGTACGAGAACCGGTTGGTGGTTTGAAAGGGCGCGCGAAACCGGTTGGTGGTTTGAAAGGGGTACGAGAACTGGTTTCTGGTTTGAAAGGGCGAGAACTGGTTGGTGGTTTGAAAGGGGTGCGAGAACCGGTTGGTGGTTTGAAAGGGGTGCGAGAACCGGTTGGTGGTTTGAAAGGGTACGAGAACCGGTTGGTGGTTTGAAAAGGGAAATTTAGAACTGGTTGGTGGTTTGAAAGGGGTGCGAGAACCGGTTGGTGGTTTGAAAGGGGCGCGAACTGGTTGGTGGTTTGAAAGGGGGAACGAACTGGTTGGTGGTTTGAAAGGGGTACGAGAACCGGTTTCTGGTTTGAAAGGGGTGCGAGAACCGGTTGGTGGTGGTTTGAAAGGGTGAGAACTGGTTGGTGGTTTGAAAGGGGTGCGAGAACCGGTTGGTGGTTTGAAAGGGGTGAGAGAACTGGTTGGTGGTTTGAAAGGGGTACGAGAACTGGTTGGTGGTTTGAAAGGGCGGTTGGAAACCGGTGGTTTTGAAAGGGGGTTTGAAAGGGGAGAACTGGTTGGTGGTTTGAAAGGGGTGCGAGAACCGGTTGGTGGTTTGAAAAAGGTGGTTTGAAAGGTGTGAACCGGGTTTGGTGGTTTGAAAGGGGTTGGTGAAAGAACCTGGTTGGTGGTTTGAAAGGGGTGCGAGAACCGGTTGGTGGTATGAAAGGGGTGCGAGAACCGGTTGGTGGTTTGAAAGGGGTGCGAGAACCGGTTGGTGGTTTGAAAGGGTGCGAGAACCGGTTGGTGGTATGAAAGGGGTGCGAGAACCAGGTTTGTGGTTTGAAAGGGTGCGAGAACTGGTTGGTGGTTTGAAAGGGGTGCGAGAACTGGTTGGTGGTTTGAAAGGGTGCGAAACTGGTTGGTGGTTTGAAAGGGGGTTTAGAAGCGAGAACCGGTTGGTGGTTTGAAAAGGGTACGAGAAATGGCGAGAACCGGTTGGTGGTTTGAAAGGTTGCGAGAACCGGTTGGTGGTTTGAAAAATGCGAGAACTGGTTGGTGGTTTGAAAGGGGTGCGAGAACTGGTTGGTGGTTTGAAAGGGGTGCGAGAACTGGTTGGTGGTTTGAAAGGAGGTGCGAGAACTGGTTGGTGGTTTGAAAGGGTGCGAGAACTGGTTGGTGGTTTGAAAGGAAATGCGAGAACTGGTTGGTGGTTTGAAAGGTGCGGTTTCTGGTTTGAAAGGCGCGTGAACCGGTTGGTGGTTTGAAAGGGGTGCGAGAACCGGTTGGTGGTTTGAAAGGGTGCGAGAACCAGTTGGTGGTTTGAAAGGGTTGGTGGTTTGAGAACCGGTTGGTGGTTTGAAAGGGGTGCGAGAACTGGTTGGTGGTTTGAAAGGGGTGCGAGAACTGGTTGGTGGTTTGAAAGGGGCGCGAGAACCGGTTGGTGGTTTGAAAGGGGTGCGAGAACTGGTTGGTGGTTTGAAAGGGGCGCGAGAACCGGTTGGTGGTTTGAAAGGGGGTACGAGAACTGGTTTCTGGTTTGAAAGGGGCGCGTGAACTGGTTGGTGGTTTGAAAGAACGAGAACTGGTTGGTGGTTTGAAAGGGGGCGTGAAACTGGTTGGTGGTTTGAAAGGGGTGCGAGAACTGGTTGGTGGTTTGAAAGGGTGCGAGAACTGGGTTGGTTTGGTTTGAAAGGTTTGGTTTGAAAGGGAACGAGAACTGTTGGTGGTTTGAAAGGGGTGAAGAACTGGTTGGTGGTTTGAAAGGGGTGCGAGAACTGGTTGGTGGTTTGAAAGGGGTGCGAGAACCGGTTGGTGGTTTGAAAAGGGTGAACTGGAACCGGTTGGTGGAACTGGAAAGGGAAAGAAAGCGAGAACTGGTTGGTGGTTTGAAAACTGGTTTCTGGTTTGAAAGGGGTGCGAAACTGGTTGGTGGTTTGAAAGGGGTGCGAGAACCGGTTGGTGGTTTGAAAGGGGTGCGAGAAACTGGTTGGTGGTTTGAAAGAAAGGGGTTTCGAGAACCGGTTGGTGGTTTGAAAGGGGGGAACTGGTTTCTGAGAACCGGTTGGTGGTTTGAAAGGGGTGCGAGAACCGGTTGGTGGTTTGAAAGAGGCGCGAAACTGGTTGGTGGTTTGAAAGGTGGTGCGAGAACTGGTTGGTGGTTTGAAAGGGGCGCGAGAACCGGTTGGTGGTTTGAAAGGGGTGCGAGAACTGGTTGGTGGTTTGAAAGGGGCGTGAACCGGTTGGTGGTTTGAAAGGGGTGCGAGAACTGGTTGGTGGTTTGAAAGGGGCGCGAAACTGGTTGGTGGTTTGAAAGGGGGCGAGAACCAGTTTGGTGGTTTGAAAGGGTGCGAGAACTGGTTGGTGGTTGGGGTAAAGGTTTGGTGAAAGGTTTGGTTTGAAAGGGTACGAAAATGAAAGGGTGCGAGAACTTGGTTGGTGGTATGAAAGGGGTGCGAGAACCGGTTGGTGGTTTGAAAGGAATGCGAGAACCGGTTGGTGGTATGAAAGGGGTGCGAGAACCGGTTGGTGGTTTGAAAGGTGTGTGAACTGGACTGGTTGGTGGTTTGAAAGGGTTGCGAGAACTGGTTGGTGGTTTGAAAAGGTGCGAGAACCGGTTTGGTGGCTTGAAAGGGGTGTGGACTGGTTTGAACCTTTTTGAAAGGTTGACTGGTTGGTTTTTTTGAGGGGTGCGAGAACTGGTTGGTGGTTTTTAAGGCGGCTCTGTCCATTGTTGGTGGTTTAAAAGGGATAGCTGACGTAGAGAAAAATGGTCTCATGCCTTTCTCAAGCCTATTACCGTTTGAGATTCAGATTTGTCCCCTTCCTAGCCTGGTTGTCCGAAACAGCTAGATTGACCCTCGCTATTTTTGCGTATATTTATAATAATTCCTTAACACCAAAACCGGGCGACACAAATGGGTCTGATTGATTTTATGGCTTTGGGTAATTGAGATTTCACACGTTTTTTTAATGGCATGAGCCTAGAGAGAAAGTAGGTTGGGAATGTAACCATAAATTTGGTAGGTGGAAAATCGAAATGAAAATTGACACTTCGAAGAAAATGAGAATTCTTTTGCATTCCGTTGACACTTAAAAGCAAGCACTGGCTGCTCGGTCAGATAATGCCTAATGTTTCCGCATGAGGAAACGGTTAATATTAGCACGATAATATTCAGCTGACGCAAGAAACTATTATCACACACTTCCTGTGAATGTGACTACGCACTTGTCACAATCTCGTTTCCTTTTCTTTTGTTTTTTCCCGTCACTATAAGAATACTGGAGTTAATTGTTTCCAGCTGGGAGAATGATATATTGCACCTTGGCACCATAGTATCATTCATTTTGCGAATATTTGTGATAATGGGGTCGAATATTACAAAAAATAATTTTATTGATTTTAATCTTTGATTTATTCGAACTATTCCTCTCAATTTTGGTTGTTTTATAGACACAACGTTTCGACCAAATGTTGTCTAGCAATCTTCAGCACTGTCTTTTTTGGGGCTGATATATGATATCTTAGTACAGGGGTCGGCAACATTTTGCTTAACTATGTACCGACTTGGATTTTAGAATCATTCAATGTGCCAACACCATGTATTTTAAATAGTAATATATACAATAATATGTAATATTAGTATATATAATTTAGTATACAGTGCTGTTCGATAAAAGTGACTCACCTGATTTTTTTTTTTGGGGGGGGTTACAATAATTTTTAATCTTACTAATGTAAAGACCCCTTCCCGACCACCTAGGAATAAGTTTATTCACCCTAAGGTATTTTATTGATAATTATAAATTTGGATATAAATGAGATTCAGGAAAAAACTCTGTGCAAAAAAGTGACTCAGATATCGCATTCTAATGATTAAACTGGTAAATTTAAAGAGCTTTCGACAAAATATTGAAAACTATTTTACAATACACTCAAAACAATATTCTAGAGAATTCTAGAACAGCTTAAATTAAATCTAAAGTATTCCAGAATATTCCAGAAAGCCTCATACAGTAACAGCCTGAAATAGCCACTCAAGTCACTAAGCAGATGAAAAGGTACAAACACGCATTAGAATCACTTAAGGCATCTCTTATTGCCCTCTCAAAAGCAGGCAAGTCTACGAGAGAAATTGCAGAAATTGCTATATGCTCGCAATCAACTGTCTCTCGAGTGCTTAGGGCACATAATGATACCACTCCTGCTCCAAGGAAGGAAACAAGGGGACGAAAGAAAAAGATTGATGATAGAACTGGCAGGGTAATCAAGAGAGAAGTTGCGAAGAATAGGACTATAAGTAGCCAAGAAATTGTAGCCAGTCTAAGCGAAGAGCAAGGTGTTAGTCTTGCCTTTTCAACAGCCCGTCGGTGGCTGTTAGGACAAGGCTCCAAATCTTGTACACGAAGGTTTAAGCCGCTAATAAGCAAAGCTAACAACACCAAGAGACTTGAATGGGCTCATATTTAAAAATGTTCTCTTCTCTGATGAAACGAAAGTTGAGCTAAATTCAAAGGGTAAGCGATCTATAATCCGAAGAAGAAGCTTTGAATTTAGCTGTAAGTACTGTCAAGCATCCGTTCAGTATAATGTTCTGGGGATGTTTTTCTTTTCATGGAACTGGTTTCTTAAAACCTATTGAAAAGACCTTCAGGAGCGAGCAGTACAAGAGAATTTTAGAGTCTTTTCTGCTCCCTTCTGCTGAAAGGTGCACATTTATCCCACCAAGCTCATTTTTATGCAGGATAATGCTCCCCGTCACAAATCAAAATTGATGAAGGAATACTTTGATAACATGGCCGCCCCAATCTCCTGACATCAACCCCATAGAAAACTTATGGAGCATTATAAAGTACAGGCTCACGATAAAGCAGTTGGGCAACAAGCAGGATTTGATTATGAATTTCATATCCGAATGGAATTCAATGCTTATAGATGAGATTTGCCAGAACCTAATCAAGTCAATGTCAAAAAGGGTTGAAAAGGTTATTCAAAATAAAGGAGGACCCATAGATTATTAAATATTTCGTACTATGTTACCTATTATAAATAAATTATACCTCTATTATTCTTTATTTGTAGCTGTTCGGTTATGTTTCTATTGGTTACCAGTTGCAGGAAATAAGTGAGTCACTTTTTTTGCACAGAGTTTTTCCCTAAATCTCATTTATATCCAAAATTATAATTATCATTAGAATACATTAGGGTGAGTAACCTTTTTTACTAGGTGGTCGGGAAGGAGTCTTTATATTAGTAAGATTAAAAATTAGTTTGACCCCAAAAACAATAGGCGAAATAATTTTTAAGTAAAAAAAAATAGGTGAGTCACTTTTATCGAACAGCACTGGATATTCAACGTGAAGCAGCTAAATATCTTTTTTTTGCGTTGTAGTAGTTATTGGTTCAGGCTTCGTGATGTCATTTGCGGCTGCGTGTCATTGGAAATTGCTTGGCGTGTCACGTGAGGCACGAAAATATAATTTTTGCCGACACCTTGTCTTAGTATAAGGGAAAAAAATGACACTTTGCCCTGCTATCCTGTCTTTTTTTTTCCTATTGAACCAGTTATATATTTAGGTTGGTGCAAAAAACTCGTTTTTTGACGTTCAACTTAACCTCAAAAATTTTTATTTTTGCAAAACCTAATAGATTTTACAATATTAGACCTTCGTGCAAAAAAAAAAAAAAAAAAAAAAAAGACACAGTGATAGGACCAAAAGTGTTGTGAGTTCAATACCTGGTTAAGGCAGTGGAGAATTCGGAGAGGTGAATTAACAGGAGATAACTGATAACTGACATCCATTAGACATGGCACGTGGAACTAGAACAGTCTACCCCAGCGAGCGAAATAAAGGGTTCAATTCGACATTCCAACCACCTGAAGAAGGCCGGAGCGTACAATGGCAGAACCAATGTGATAAATATGGCAGCAAAGATGAGGACAATAATCTGAATAATGTAAATAGTGAAAATTATTCTTGTAAATCACCAATCTAATAAAGAAATAATGTTTAATATATTTGTTGTCAATTGTCGAGACCAAAAACACTGTATAAAGATTTTATTGTTCAAAAACTGTTTATGTTTGTCCTGGGTTGATAGTTGTTACGGTCGAAGGTTAGGGACATGGAAGAACAACACGAAACACAACAGTAGAAATAACAAAGAATATATTACACAAGAAATAATACAAAGAAGTGAAAAGGTTAGTAAGACTGTCCGACTGGTTTGGCGTGACTGCTGTCAGCTCGACTCGATTCAATACCGTCCCAATACCAAATCCGTTCGTCTCTCTTGAATGTATAGCGTTCGGCAGAGTTTATTCTGTCGGTCGAGGTAGGCACCATGACAATAGTCAAATAATTTCCTTGCAAACTATTGATTCATACATTAATACTTGACAAAATTCTTCTATATTTCCTTTCTTTTTTGTTTCATTTTAAAAAGAAAAGAAATACTAAAAATTGTCGATAACAGCGGTGTCAAAAGAAAACCTGTTCATTTGATAAACTTATTTTTTGCATGTTGTAATGTTTAACAAATTTGTCGCGGTTGATCAGTTACGACTGAGTCGGGTGTTAGATCATCAGTGAGTTCTGCACACTTTCGGCTTTGCGCTATATCTAAGCTGCGCTTAGAAAATCGTTTGGCTACTTCCAAGTAGTGTAATAGTTAACAAGCTTGTCTCACGAGATGAATTACATCTGAATAATGAGTCAGATCCTTATTGGGTACCCCTAACTTGCGGCTTTGCGCCACATCTAAGTCACGCTGAGAAAATCAGCATTTTCACACTATTTTCTTTTGGCGTACACATTCATTAATAATTTAGTAAAGGATTATAAATTTATGAATAAAAATATTCTTATAAATTGGTAAATGATAAATAGTGAATTGTATTAGATTTTAGAATATTGTAAATATAAAATTATTCTTGTAAATAAATAATGTAATAAATAAATACTGCTTAATATTTTTGTTGTAAATTCTCAAGAACAAAAAAAATGAATAAACTCAATTTAATCATATATTTAGTTTTTATTACAATTCCAATCGCCACTTTTGAAAACTAAACATTACCGAGGTGAAGGTAGTTAAAATAATAACAGGGTCAAGGGAAAGGTGTCGACTGTAGTCGGGAGCATCGAGTCAATGCGAACGATCCTTTCCTTAGATGCATAGTATGTCCTTCACCAGAGCTACATACAGTTTTGAATTCAGAGTTTTCCTTCTCCTAGACTAGTAGCCACTCAAGACGATAGAACCCAGCCTGTCCAGTTATTTACCAACAACTGCGGGGAGAAAAGATAGATTCATACCTTTACCCAAGAGTATTACCACGTAAGTGAATGGAATGAACTCGACTAGAATTTGAACTCGGCTCTCCAAATTATCAATCCAAGACGCAATTCAACATTCCATCGTAATAAAAAAGAAAAAGAAAAGTTTTCTTAACACACCGTTTATTTTTGGGCGTCGGACTGCAGGCACGTAAGTCTAAGATTAACCAGATTTAAACTATTTGTCTTGTATATTGAATTGTTTACCATGAGTTGAAAAAATTTTCCCATTAATAAATTAATTTATCTTTTTATTCGCCACCACTTTTAAAAATAATGCCTGATTGCTTTTTTATTTTATTATCACGGCGACTTCCGACCTGTATTGGTAAGATATTTATATATATAATGATATATAAATATATATATATATATATATATATATATATAA